TTTGTAAGAACAAAAATTTATTTTAACACAAATCAACTCAGAAGCAAAAACAAACTATATTTTTTGGATAAACTCGAGCCTCCGAAAAAGTTAGCTTTTAACGTGTATTTGGAAAATAAATTTCCCAAACTACAAGGAAAGTCAATTTCGAAAGCAACAAAAATGGAAAATAAATAAAAATAAAAACGCACGGAAAACGCGAACGCGCAGACAAACAGAAGCACATAAATTTGCGCCTTTATTTCGTTTAAGAAAAACACACTTAAATAAAGGAAACTCAACAATGTACTTGAGGAAAAGTTTTCCTTCAACGTTGCCTGCATTTCAGATACTCCACGAAACACTAGAACATGCGAAAGTTCCGCTGAATTTAGGCGCACATAGAATACCAAAATTTATAAGTCAAAAACTCTGTCTCAGATTGTATGAACGCTGCACCGTAATTTGCCTTTATTATCCTGCGAAGATTTTTAGAATTTCCAGCAACCAAATTGAGCCACAGAATTAAGCGCATTGTGAGTTCGCAACGGAATGAAATGAAATGAATTATTTAATTTTAATGTTGAATTTTAATAGCAGAAAAGATTTGCGTGTGCAATGTAGAGTTTTGAATCTAATTGACATACTTTCGGAGGAAAAAGAGAAGAATGTATTTCATATATTTTTAACTAAAGTCTAAATATTTTTTTGAAAAAGTGTAATAACCACTTTCATTTTTCTTGATGTACATATATGTCATTTGTCAAAAATACTTCTATTAATGTTAGTATCACATGCACTGCATTTTGAAGCCAAAAAAATGGCTTTTTTAATTTTTATGTTGAAGCTATTTGAGCCAGTGCACTTAAACACTTTTACTCTTTCTTAATGCGAGGTATTTTCAGAACCCCTCTTTACGCCTTGACTGGATTATTGTTTATCACTTCATCAGACTAAGCAATAATTGACCTCAGACCTGTATACCATCCCTAGGAACGTGTAAGAATAAAACTTGATTTTTAGTTCAAACACGAATCCTTAGTAAATAACAAAACTGAGTAATCTACAAACATATCCCAGCTGTTCATTAGATTTTCTTCTGTTTTATTCAAACTCACTTATAACTCAAAAGCATACTATAGACAAAATCAAAATCTCTAGAATTCATAATGAGTTCAATTTAAGCTTTTATTTCAATATCCGCTTTTTTTTCTGCTAAGCTGTCTTACATACTCTGTAAAGCCAACTTTAAGCTCACTATATTTATGTATTTCAATTTAGTCCTCAAGTTATATTAGATTTGATTAGATTTTAAAATGAATTGGAAACTTGACACCACGTCACTGCATCCTTTGAGGATTATTGTGACGTTCCCACGAGTAGCAGTTAAAAACGCCATTATGTCCTTTGAAGAGCTGCTGCCTAATTCCTTTATAAGTAGTCTTCAAGTTACATTTTAATTGCATTACTTGTGAACTTTGTGCGTCACAGATAAATGTCTATTTATACATAATTTTGTGAACTTGAAGATTTACCGCAATATTAATTGGAGGCGAACTCCTATTAAAATCGGTCCTAAAACTCACAGAACTTGAACACAAAGAAATATGTGATTGTCTAGCCAGTTGAAGGTGAAATATGTCTTTGCTGTAGACTGATAAAAAACTGATGGGAAGACATCATCAAGTGTGAACATTTGCACAGTGGTTTATTCGTTTAGGTTAACGTCAAGCAAAAAGGTTTAAAATATTTTCATTAAAGGGTGTAGACTTTAAAACTCTATGTAGTTACTATACAGGTTAGTGTAACCTGGAATAAAACTCAAAATAAATAAAAGCTTATCAATACTGATGTTTGTCATTTTAGCGAAATTTTTACTGAAAGCTCTGAACATACTCTTTATGAATACCCACATCTTGAAAGATAAACGCCTTAACACTAAGGTGCTACTGCTATGCCTCTATATAAGCTAACAAATGAAAAGTACCAAATAGCGCTAAAACTTATAAAAATACCAAATATATACAGTTAATGAGCAAGGAATAAAAAGATTCTTAACTAGGTGGACTGGTTGCAAAGCAGTATGTTGCATATATAAAAAACAGTTCATTTAAAATATGCGTTTCATTAACACTAAATCGAATTTAACGATGTTTCAAACACAATACGCTTATTTCGATCCAAATCCTAACAAATATCGTTTATTAGAATAAATATATTATTTATTAAAATACCTGCTTTAGCAAATAACCAACGATTTAAAAAGATTAATAAATATGCAATTAAATAATTGATTAAAAATGCTGCCACCTTTTTTAATTATATATAAATACAAATAATATAAAATTTAAAATGGTTTTTCAATTAAAAAATAATTTAAAATATTTGTAAAATTTTATTATTGATTTTTTTAGCCCAACTGAATTTTTAAATCACTCATACGCCATGTTGTACCATAAAAATTTGCATTTTTTGTATAATGTGTAGCTGAGTGCTTATAAAATGCTGCGTAATTAGTGCATTAAATTAATAAACGAAATTTTCATTAATAAAATATTTTATTTTTAACCTCATTTAATTTTACAAACATGACCTTGGGTTAAAATTATATTGAAAGTATAAAAAATTTATATAAATTCCAAAATCGCTTTTTATATAATTAAAAATATATTGAAAAAATTATGTTGAAAAAGAAAAAATTAATTGTGAAATATATATATATATATATATATCACATCATCAAAATGCAAATAAAAAGTTAAAATTTTTTTATGGGCAAAGTGAATATTATTAACTACCGCAAAAATAATTTAGTACAGTGAAGTACATTATGTTCGGGTACAAATTAAATTAAATTATATTTCAATTGCTTGCTCTCAAAGGTTGAAATGAAAAAATGTGTGTAGCACTTTTATCGCATATTAAAGATAAAATAATCTCTAAATCATTGTATCCATAAATTTTCTCACACATCGAGTTAAATTTATTCAAGCGAATTTTATTTGATTTTAGTTGTTATTCAAGCGCCAGAAATTACGCTTTATTAATTATGCATACTACGAAGAGCAATTACAGCAAACAAATTACAATTTTGCAAATGACTATTTAGAAATTTCTAACATATATGAATATCTAGTTAAGTTTTTACTATAGTAGTCGGGATGTGGGATGTATTTCCTGGTATTTACATGAATATATAAATACAAAATGAACTTGTACATGCAACCATACTTCCATATTCTCATTTATGTGCATACGTGCGTTAACAGTAATGGGCGGGCTCGGAAGTAAATGCGTACGTTGTCAAAACGTTCAGAAACATATCACTGAATTCTATGAAAAGGTAATGTTTATGTAGGCACCCAGTACTTTCATGTTTTGATGTTTGCTGCTTAATTTTTAGCATATAAAGCAATTAATATTTGCATTTACTTAAATTGATCGCTTATTTTAAACGACTTGGTTATGCATACTTTATATACCATATTTTGGAAACTGTTTGTAATTCACTCATTCATTCATTTATATACGTACTAAAATAAATTGAAATGTTTGCTTTGAATATAATGATACACACAAAATATACAAATTTGTTTTTTCATTAAGTATAATTAAAAAAATATTTTCCGAGTTAGTGCATCTGAGCACTTTTACTCTTTGATAGCTGGGGGGTTTCTCCAGAGTCCCACTCATCTCACTGACTAATTTGTGTATTCCTCATAAGTTTCGTGATTATTCAATGACTGCTCTAAGTTCTGCGTACCGCTCCGTGTGGTTAGTGAATACTGTGAGATTAGATAGTGCTAAGTAGGGCAGCCTGTCGGTTTTCGCATATAGCTTCAGGGCTCTATCCCTTGTGTATTTTTTGACCGGATCTATTCTAAGGTCACTTAGCATGTCATTCGTGCGAATGTACCATGGCACTTTGAAGGGTCTTCGGAGTCAGGCTGACTTTGATTGCAAAATGCAATTTAGCATTTAAAAACTAATATTATTCCACTAGCAACGAATGATTTAACAAATTCTTTGCATAGATAAAACCCATTTAAATGTACTTTAACTATTTATTTAACTTGGTCATAAAGGTTTAACTCATACCATCTTATGAAGAATACTTGAATATCTTGTAATTGAACACTCCATAAATTATTTGATAATAGTTTTCTTGGTTTTATTAATAGATTATATGAAAGTTTTGGATTGAAACTAAA